TAGGAGATGATGTGTGAGATGATGCTTATAGGAGATGATGTGTAGAGGTGAGGCTTATAGGAGATGATGTGTGAGATGATGCTTATAGGATGTGTAGAGATGATGCTTATAGGAGATGATGTGTAGAGATGATGCTTAAAAGAGATGATGTGTAGAGATGATGCTTATAGGAGATGATGTGTAGAGATGATGCTTATAGGAGATGATGTGTAGAGATGAGATGCTTATAAGGAGATGATGTGAGAGATGATGTGTAGAGATGCTTATAGGAGATGATGTGTAGAGGTGATGCTTATAGGAGATGATGTGTAGAGATGATGCTTATAGAATGATGTAGAGATGTGTTATAGGAGATGAGGCTTATGCTTAGGGATGATGATGTGTAGAGGTGATGCTTATAGGAGATGATGTGTAGAGATGATGCTTATAGGATGATGATTATAGGAGATGATGTGTGGGGTGAGGCTTATAGGAGATGATGTGTAGAGATGATGCTTATAGGAGATGATGTGTAGAGGTGAGGATGTATAGATGATGTGTAGAGATGATGCTTATAGGAGATGATGTGTAGAGATGATGCTTATAGGAGATGGAGATGATGTAGAGATGATGCTTATAGGAGATGATGTGTAGAGATGATGCTTATAGGAGATGATGTGTAGAGATGATGAGATGATGTGTAGAGATGATGCTTATAGGAGATGATGTAGAGATGATGTGAGATGATGATGCTTATAGGAGATGATGATGGAGATGATGTGTAGAGATGATGCTTATATGATGTAGAGATGAGATGTGTAGAGATGATGAGATGATGCTTATAGGAGATGATGTGTAGAGATGATGCTTATAAGAGATGATGTGTAGAGATGATGCTTATAGGAGATGATGTGTAGAGATGATGCTTATAGGAGATGATGTGTAGAGATGATGCTTATAAGAGATGATGTGTAGAGATGATGCTTATAGGAGATGATGTGTAGAGATGATGCTTATAGGAGATGATGTGTAGAGATGATGCTTATAGGAGATGATGTGTAGAGATGATGCTTATAGGAGATGATGTGTAGAGATGATGCTTATAGGAGATGATGTGTAGAGGTGAGGCTTATAGGAGATGATGTGTAGAGGTGATGGAGATAGTGGGAGATGATGTGTAGAGATGATGCTTATAGGAGATGATGTGTGAGATGGTAGGAGATGATGTGTAGAGGTGAGGCTTATAGGAGATGATGTGTAGAGATGATGTTTGATGTGTAGAGATGAGATGATGTGTAGAGATGATGCTTATAGGAGATGATATGGAGATGATGCTTATAGGAGATGATGTGAGATGATGCTTATAGGAGATGATGTGTAGAGATGATGCTTATAGAGATGATGAGATGATGTGATGTGTAGAGATGATGCTTATAGGAGATGAGAGATGATGTGTAGGAGATGATGTGTAGAGATGATGTGTAGAGAGATGATGCTTATAGGAGATGATGTGTAGAGATGATGCTTATAAGAGATGATGTGTAGAGATGATGCTTATAGGAGATGATGTGTTATAGGAGATGATGTGGGATGATGCTTATAGGAGATTATAGGAGATGATGTGTAGAGATGATGGAGATTATAGGAGATGATGTGTAGAGATGTGGAGGCTTATAGGAGATGATGTGTAGAGATGATGCTTATAGGAAATGATGTGTAGAGGTGAGGCTTATAGGAGATGATGTGTTGAGGTGAGGCTTATAGGAGATGATGTGTAGAGATGATGCTTATAGGAGATGATGTGTAGAGATGATGCTTATAAGAGATGATGATGAGATGATGCTTATAGGAGATGATGTGTAGGTGAGGCTGATAGGAGATGATAGGAGATGATGCTTATAGTGATGATGTGTAGAGATGATGCTTATAGGAGATGATGTGTAGAGATGATGCTTATAAGAGATGATGTGTAGAGATGATGCTTATAGGAGATGATGTGTAGAGGTGAGGCTTATAGGAGATGATGTGTAGAGATGATGCTTATAGGAGATGATGTGTAGAGGTGAGGCTTATAGGAGATGATGTGTAGAGATGATGCTTATAGGAGATGATGTGTAGAGATGATGCTTATAGGAGATGATGTGTAGAGATGATGCTTATAGGAGATGAGGTGTTATAAGAGATGTGGGAGATGATGCTTATAGGAGATGATGTGTAGAGATGATGCTTATAAGAGATGATGTGTAGAGATGATGCTTATAGGAGATGATGTGTAGAGATGATGCTTATAAGAGATGATGTGCAGAGATGATGCTTATAAGAGATGATGTGTAGAGATGATGCTTATAGGAGATGATGTGTAGAGATGATGCTTATAAGATGATGATGATGTGAGATGATGCTTATAGGAGATGATGTGTAGAGGTGAGGCTTATAGGAGATGATGTGTGAGAGGCTTATAGAGATGATGTAGAGATGATGCTTATAGGAGATGATGTGTGAGATGATGGCTTATAGGAGATGATGTGTGGATGGTGGGGAGGAGATTATAGGAGATGATGTGTGAGAGATGCTTATAGGAGATGATGTGTGAGGTGAGGGCTTATAGGAGATGATGTGTAGAGATGATGCTCATAAGAGATGATGTGTAGAGATGATGCTTATAGGAGATGATGTGTAGAGGTGAGGCTTATAGGAGATGATGTGTAGAGATGATGCTTATAGGAGATGATGTGTAGAGATGATGCTTATAGGAGATGATGTGTAGAGGTGAGGCTTATAGGAGATGATGTGTAGAGATGATGCTTATAGGAAATGATGTGTAGAGGTGAGGCTTATAGGAGATGATGTGTTGAGGTGAGGCTTATAGGAGATGATGTGTAGAGATGATGCTTATAGGAGATGATGTGTAGAGATGATGCTTATAAGAGATGATGTGTAGAGATGATGCTTATAGGAGATGTCGTTTTCAGGCAAAACTCCTATAAAAGAAATTGACCATATTTTTTTTTTTGATGTTTTTCAATCATGAAAACCAGATTAAAGAGTTCTTCGAAAACATTTTACATCTAAACTTTCGGAATTTTAATAAAAAAATTATTGAAGAGATGCCCGATATGTAGCAACACATCATTGTAAATAATGGTGACTACAGATCTGAATTGAATCTGAGGAAGTCTTTCTAACGATGCCGAAACACGTAATCATGTCACTAAAACAGTTTTCCAATTTGATAGATTTATAAAACTTTGTCTGGATCCTATATCCACTTTATACATACATTGACAAAACGAAAAACAAAAAGACATACCTTAGATATAGGAATCTTTTACTTTCAACCAATTCTGTGAAATTGGTTAGGGATTTTCCATAAATTCAATGCAAAAGAGCTGGGTGAATATTATAAACAAATTTCGAGAAAACAAAATAAAACTGAAAAGCAAAGAAAACAGCACCAATTATAATAACAGCTTTTATACAAAAGTCGTACAATTTTGTTCTATCATCCCCAACCGAGGGACGCCAACTTAACAGGAAAAGTATAAACGTTTGAAGCACACGAACAAATATCCACACATATATTTCTTTCGTTTGGACCTGAAGAAGTCGATCTAACAATACAGAAACGTGTAATTAAATCAATAAAAAGGTTTTCCATCTTGTTAAATTTATAAAATGTTGTCTGAATTCTATATCCTATTTCTTCACATACAATTAAACAAAACGTAATTGTAAATTACTTTTGAAGAATAAAGCTGATGAATAGAGATAGAAATGATTTATTCTCAACATAGCAGATTACCATTTCTGTGTTTTTTACTTGAAAGCCTTTGGTCTGAATTCTCTTGTTTATGTTAAGTTCTCCTGTTAAAACTCATTTATCCTGCACGAAAATTTCTTCAAGATTGACTGGAGTTGCTCTTAACGACCGGTTGAAGTATGTTTGTGCCAAATGCTGTCAGAGACTGGCAACGAATATGTTCTTATCAGGCTGGAGAATCAAGGACAAAGAAGAGTCTTGGAGAAAATGACATAAAATATCCAAATTGCGGAACCGACGTCGTTGCTTGTAAGCTTCGGACATTGTCTTATTTTATCAGACCACTATCGAAAGGTAAATGGGAAAAAAGAAGAAGATTACTAGTCTTGGAATTGTATATATATATAACCATTGATTACTTTCTTTTCGCTTTCTCTTACTTTTCACCATTTTAAGATTTCTTTTGACTTTTTTCTCCTTGCTGTCGAATTTTATTTTTTCACTCAGTTTTTCTTGCTTTTTGTCCGCTCTTTTCTTTTCTTACTTTGTTTCTTTGTTTGTTTATTTCTTGCTTATTTCACACTGATTTTACTTCTTTCTTTCTTTCTTTGTTTATTTCTTTCTTCTGTTTTTCTCTATTCTTTCATTCTTTTTTGCTTATTTCCCCTTATTTGACTGTATCTTTCTTTATTTTCTTTTTTATATTACTCCTTTTTCTTTCTTTCTTTCTTTCTTTCTTTCTTTCTTTCTTTCTTTCTTTCTTATTTCCTTCTGTTTTCCTCTCTATCCCTCTTTATTTTTTTTTATTTCATTCTTTCACACTTTCCTTCTTTTTTCTTTCTTTCTTTCTTTCTTTCTTTCTTGTTTGATTTCTTATTTCTTTCTTATATTATTCCTTTCTTTCTTTTTGCTTATTTTCTTTCTTTCTTTCTTTCCTTTCTTTCATTCGTTCGTTCCTTTTATTTTCTTTATATTTTTACATTCTTTTCTCTCATATATATATATATATATATATATATATATATATATATATATATATATATATATATATATATGTATGTATGTATTACTCATACTTTTTTATTAAAGGAGTTAAAATATTTTTCTACATTTAAGTTTTCCTCTTTCTTTCTCTCCCCCCCTTTTTTCTTCTTTGTTCTTTACATTTGATAGTCCTTTTTTTTCTTATAAATTTCATCTAATTTTTCTTTGTTGCCTTACACACCCTTATTATCAGTCCTTCTTTTTTTCATTCATTCACAGAGTCATAGACGAAGGGGAAAAAGGAAAGAAAAACTGAAACTCATCAAGAAGACCATGTCGTCTGCTGAAAATGGACAGTTTGCTTTTTCTACTGCTGATGGCGACCATTAGCCGATTAAAGACAATGAATACACAGCCAGCTCTACTCCAAGCAAGTTTATTGGTTACTCAAGGAATTGGAGATCGAAGCGTAAGAGAAATTATTGATCCGTTCTTGTTCGACAGGACAGGAAGGCCGCGTGGAACATTTACGAGCCCATGAACACCGTGACAACGGGGAAGAAAGAGGAATTACGTTTCTTTAAAATAAAGCGTCGACATGAACAAAGAGTTGTAATTAATTACTAACGGATAAAATGAAGTGGCGTGGAATGAAGCGAGAGAGAGAGAGAGAGAGAGAGAGAGAGAGAGAGAGAGGGGGATATAGAAAAAGAGTAAACGGTAAAAAGACGAATGGAAAGAAAGAGAGAGCGAGAGAAAAAATGTTGGAAAAAGTAAGAGAGGCACATAGATAAAGAAAGAGTGAGAGAGGAAAAAGAAAGAGGTAAAGAAATTGAAAGAGACAGAAAGAGACATAGAGAGAGAGAGAGATAGAGAAAAATAGATAAAAAGAGAAGCATAAGGAAAGAGCGAGAGAGAGAGAGAGGGATAGAGAGGGAGTATAGAAAAAAGAAAATGCGAGAAAGGCAACAAGGAGGGAAAGAGAAAGAGCGAGTGAGAGAGAAAAGTGTTAGAAAAAGTAAGAGAGACATAGAGAGAGGAAAAGAGAGAGATAAATAGATTGAAAGAGGGAGGAGGCATAGAACAGGAGAGAGAGTGGAAGATAGTGATAAATAGATGAAAAGAGAGACGTAAGGAAAGAGTGAGAGAGAGGGAGGGCATAGAAAAAAGAAAATGAGGGAACGAGAAAAAGAGGAATGGAGGAAAGGGAGATTGGGAGAAAGACAGAGATAGATAGATGAAAAGTGAGACATAAAAAAGAGAGATAGAGAGACAGGGAAAGAGAGAAAAAGCGAGAGATAGTCAGATAAATAGAGAGATGGAAAAAAGAAAGAAAAAACACAGAAACAGATAGCGATAGAGAGAAAATGAAAGAAAGAAAGAAAGAAAGAAAGAAAGAAAGAAAGAAAGAAAGAAAGAAAGAGATATAGAGGGTGAAGAATTGAGAAACAGAAATGGGGAGATGAGGAGAAGGAAACAGAGATAATGAAACATAGAAAAAGAGAGAAAAGATAGAGAGAACGAGGCACAGAGAAAAAGAGTGACCGATAGAAAGAGAAAGAAGAAAATGAAAAAGAAAGAATTAAAAAAAAGGAAGTTCAAGTGGCATATAGAGAGAATAGTGGGAGACAGAAAAAAAAGGTAGAAAAAGAGAAGGAAAGAGAAAGAAGCAAAGAACGAGGGGAATAAAGAGAAAGAGTCAAAGAGAAAGAAGGAGACCTATAGAAGAAGAAAGATAGAAATATTTGAAAGGGAAGAGTAAAAAGGGAAGACTACACTTAGCATTTCTACGCTAACGAAAAGAAAGAAAGAAAAGGAAACGAAAAAACGATGATAGGAAATAAATTGAAGAAAAAAATGACGGAAAAAGAAAAGAAAGTAAACGAAAACAAGAAATAAAAATGAAGCAAGAAAAAGAGAAAAGAAAAGAATAAAGTAAACGAAAAAATAGCAAAGAACAGAAAAAGAAAGAGAAAACCAAGAAACAGGTGAATATGGTGATTCAAATTTCTAAACCAATGAAAATAAACCTAAATAATAAAAACAAAAACAACAACAATAATAATAATAATAATAATAATAATAATAATAACAATAATAATAGTAGTAGTAGTAATAATAATAATAATAATCATAATGATGATGATGATAATAATAATAAGATTCTGTGATAAATATCCAGAAACGATTGATCATCTTGTATCAGGTTGCACGATGTTGGCACCCACTGAATATAAAACCCGACATGACAGAGTGGGCGAATATCTGCACTGGAAAACCTGCAACTTCTACGGGAAGGAAACTGATAGAAACTGGTATGAACACCAACCAGACCCGGTTACGGAGATAGGACCTGTCACAATTGTATGGGACTACACAATACACACTGACAGAACAATCAAGGCCAACCGCCAAGATATTGTTATTAAAGACCACAAGCAAAAACGGTGCCTCCTTATTGACATGGCAGTCCCTGCTGACTGCAATGTATCTTTGAAGATATTCAAAAAGTTGTCAAAATACAAGGACCTTGAAATAGAAATCTCGAAAATGTGGCATATGGGAACATTAACAATCCCTGTTGTAGTTGGAGCCCTAGGACTGGTTGGAAAAGATTGCAGTAGACTAATTGAAGGGATTCCTGGAAGTCCATGCCTCAAGGAGAGACAAAAAATTGTTCTGACAAGTACAGCCCACATTTTACGAAGGGCTTTATCTATGTAATTTTTTTTTGTCAGTGGAAAGTGTCATGATGCCATTTCTAACCTTAGGTCCCTGGGCGAGACCCAGAAATGTGTAAACGCCAGAAATCAAAGGAAATAATAATAATAATAATAATAATAATAATAATAATAATAACAACAATCGCTATCGTATTGGATTTCGAACTCCACGGTAAGATTTCCTGACAGGACAAACTAGTCGATAAACCAATTTTTATGACCGCTTTAATGAACTACAGTCAATTAGTAAAATTACTGTTTTTCTTCACTGTTTTAATCTTTGAAAGGCTATTTGGCCAATTATTTCTCGACTGTCAACTTTATTTGATTGACTCTGTTTTGTCAACATTTCCCGGCTTCGTTTAAACTAAACTTTTCAAAGTTTTGCGTTATCGATTAAAAAAAGAGATAATTGCAATCTTCAAATAATGTAGATTAACTTCTGACAGTTGAATGGGAGAATCTGTGCCACCTTTTCAATGACCTGCCAATATCATTGCCTACTCATTAAAAGGGTGATACTGCTAATACTAACCGAGTCTACTGTCTCTCGGGGTGTTTTCATCTGATCGATATATGCTTTAATCAAAAGATTCAAGGCTGCTCCAGACTTTGTCGAATAGTGTTATCTGTTCGTTAATAAAGATATCAGCTTTTCGTCTCGAATCAAACAGCATATGATTGCGAATGGTTTCCTCGGAATTCTACAGTGACCTATAGATAAAATGAATTCTTCAGTGACCTATAGATAAAATAAATTGTTTATAATCAGGAGTATCGGTAAGTTACTAGGTTGTCCCAAATCGAAATGGTGTTGATAGCAGGGAGGAAAATGAAAAGAGACCTTGAAAATTTCATCTTTGAAGTCGATAGATTGGTTTTTGTGTTTAACGGCCACACTTTTGCTATTTGATATCATTCGTTGAGTAGTGGTTATGCATATATTCCTACACACATACAACACACAGGCACACACAAATACAACACACATGCACAAATAACTAGCATAATCAAAGAAAAAAATTAGGAAGGAAGCCATAAAAAAAGATTGAGGAATATAAAGGAAAGAATGAATGTAAAAATGAATAAAACAAGTAAGTAAGTAACGAAGGAAGGATGGGAGGGAGGGAGGGAGGGAGGAAGGCGGGAAACAGATACGAAAGAAAGAAAGAAGAAAGAAAATGAAAAAGATAGAAAGAAAGAAAGTATGTCAAATGAACAATGCAAGTCAAAGAGAAAGAAAGAAAGAAAGAAAAAGAAAGAAAGAAATGAAAGAAAGAAAGAAAGAAAGAATGAAAGAAAGAAGGTATATAAAATGAATAACATGAGTCAAGGAGAAAGGAAGAAATAAATAAAGAACGAAATAGAGTGAAGGATATAAAGGAAGGAAGGAATTTAAAATTAATGATGCAAGGAAGGAAGGAAGGAAGGAAGGAAGCAAGGAAGGAAGGAAGGAAGGAAGGAAGGAAGGAAGGAAGGGAGTAAAGAAGGGAGGAAGGGAGGGAGGAAAGAAAAAAGGGAGGAAGAATGGAAGAAACGAAGGAAGCGAGGGAAAATCTAAGGAAGGAAGGAAGGCAGGAAGGAAGGAAATGAGGGAGGAAAAGAAGGAAGGGAGGAAGGAAGGAAGGGACGAAGGAAGGGAGGAAGGATGTAAGGAAGGAAAGAAGGAAGGCAGGAAGGAAGGAAGGAAAGAAGGGGGAGGGAGGAAGGGACGAAGGAAGGGAGGAAGGATGGAAAGGACGAAGGAAGGGAGGAAGGATGGAAGGAAGGAAGGGAGGAAGGCAGGAAGGAATGAAGGAAGGAAAAAAGGGAGTGAGGGAGGAAAGAAGGAAGGGAGGAAGAAAGGAAGGAAGGGGCGAAGGAAGGGAGGAAGGATGTAAGGAAGGAAGGAAAGAAGGAGGAAAGAAAGGAGGAAGGGAGGGATGAAAGAAAAAAAAAAGGAAGAATGAAAAAAAACAGAAAGGAGGGAAAATCTAAGGAAGGAAGGAAGGCAGGAAGGAAGGAAAGAAGGGAGGAAAAGGAGGGAGGAAAGAAGGAAGGGAGGAAGGGACGAAAGAAGGGAGGAAGGATGTAAGGAAGGAAAGAAGGAAGGCAGGAAGGAAGGAAGGAAAGAAGGGAGGAAGGGAGGAAGGAAAGAAGGAAGGGAGGAAGGATGGAAGGGACGAAGGAAGGGAGGAAGGCAGGAAGGAATGAAGGAAGTAAAAAAGGGAGTGAGCGAGGAAAGAAGGAAGGGAGGAAGAAAGGAAGGGGCGAAGGAAGGGAGGAAGGATGTAAGGAAGGAAGGAAGGAAGGGAGGAAAGAAAGGAGGAAGGGAGGGAGGAAAGAAAAAAGGGAGGAAGAATGGAAGAAACGAAGGAAGCGAGGGAAAATCTAAGGAAGGAAGGAAGGCAGGAAGGAAGGAAAGAAGGGAGGAAGGGAGGGAGGAAAGGGGGAAGGAAGGAAGGGACGAAGGAAGGGAGGAAGGATGTAAGGAAGGAAAGAAGGAAGGCAGGAAGGCAGGAAGGAATGAAGGAAGGAAAAAAGGGAGTGAGCGAGGAAAGAAGGAAGGGAGGAAGAATGGAAGGGGCGAAGGAAGGGAGGAAGGATGTAAGGAAGGAAGGATGTAAGGAAGGAAGGAAGGAACGAAGGGAGTAAAGAAGGGAGGAAGGGAGGGAGGAAAGAAAAAGGAGGAAGAATGGAAGAAACAAGGAAGGAGGGAAAATCTAAGGAAGGAAGGAAGGCAGGAAGGAAGGAAAGAAGGGAGGAAGGGAGGGAGGAAAGGGGGAAGGAAGGAAGGGACGAAGGAAGGGAGGAAGGATGTAAGGAAGGAAGGAAGGAAAGGACGAAGAAAGGGAGGAAGGATGTAAGGAAGGAAAGTAAGAAAAAATAAATCGGAAGAAAGAAAAACAAATAAAGAAAAAGATAAAGAAAGGATGTAAAATGAACAATGCAAATCAAGGAGGAAGTTAGGAAGGAAAAAAGTAAAGAAGGGAGAAAGAAAGAAACATCGAATAAAGTACAAAGAAAAACAAATAATTAAATAAATAAAGAAAGTAAAGAAGGAAAAAAAGAACGAAAAAAGAAAGAAAAAGAAAGAAAAAGAAAGGTCGAATGTATAATAAGTAATGTAAGTCAAGGAAAAAAGAGAGAAAGAAAGAAAGAAAGAAAGAAAGAAAGAAGAAAGAAAATAAAGAAAGAACGAAGTAAAAAAGGAACGTAAAAAAGTAATACCTGTCAAGGAGTAAGGAAGGGAGAAAGGAAGGAAGGAAAGAAAGAAGGAAGGAAAGAAAGAAAGAAGGAAAGAAGAGAAGAATGAAAGAAAGATTGAAAAAAAGAAAAAGAAAAGGAAAAAGAAAGAAAGAATGTGAAATGAACAATGCAAGACAAAGAGGAAGGAAGGAAGAAAGGAAGGTGGAAGGAAGGAAGGAAAGGAAGGAAGGAAGGAAGGAAGGAAGGAAGGAAAAAAAGAAGGAAAGAAAGAAAGAGAGAACGAAGTAAAAAAGAAACGTAAAAAAATAATACCTGTCAAGGAGAAAAGAAAGAAGTAAGGAAGGAAAGAAGGAAGGAATGAAGGAAGGAAGGAAGGAAGGAAGGGAGGAAGGAAGGAAGGAAGTAAGTAAGTAAGGAAGGAAGCAAGGAAGGAAGGGAGGAAGGAAGGAAGGAAAGAAGGAAGGAAGGAAGGAAGGAAGGAAGGAAGGAAGGAAGTGAGGAAGAAAGGAAAGAAGGAAGGAATGAAGGACGGAAGCAAGGAAAGAAGGGAGGAAGCAAAGAAGGAAAGGAGGAAGGAAGGAAAGAAGGAAGGAATGAAGGAAGGAAGCAAGGAAGGAAGGGAGGAAGGAAGGAAGGAAAGAAAGAAGGAAGGAAGTGAGGAAGGAAGGAAAGAAGGAAGGAATGAAGGAAGGAAGGAAGGAAGGAAGGAAGGAAGGCAGGAAGGAAGGAAGGAAAGGAGGAAGGAAGGAAGCAAGGAAGGAAGGAAGGAAAGGAGGAAGGAAGGAAAGAAGGGAGGGAGGGAGGAAAGAAGGAAGGGTGGAAGGAAGGAAGGAAGGAAGGAAAGGAAGGAAGGAAGGAAGGAAGGAAGAAAGGAAAAAGGAAGGAAGGAAGGGAGGAAAGGAAGAAAAGAAAGAATGAAAGAAAGAAAGCGAGAACGAAGTAAAAAAGAAACGTAAAATAAATAATACCCGTCAAGGAGGAAGGAAGAAAATAAGGAAGGAAGGGAAGAAGAAAGAAAGTAAGGAAGGAAGTGAGGAAGGAAGTTAGGAAGGAAGGGAGGAAGTAAGGAAGGAAGGGAAGAAGAAAGAAAGTAAGGAAGGAAGTGAGGAAGGAAGGAAGGAAGGAAGGAAGGAAGGAAGGAAAGGTGGAAAGAATGATGGAAGGAAGGATGGAAGGAAGGAAGGGAGGAAGAAAAGAAGGAAAAAAAGGAATGAAGGAAGGAAGGAACAAAAGAAGGAAAGAAGGAAGGAAGGAACGAACGAACGAACGAATGAAGGAAAGATGGAAGATAAAAACAAACATGAGAAGAAAGAACAAAGAAATAAAGATAGTAAAAAGAAATAAAAAAAATTAAGAAAACTGAAAGTAAAATAGAAAGAAAGTAAAAGGCAATTAAGAAAAGAAAATATTTTTGAAAAATAAAAGAACAAAAAATTCTTTAAAGAATTGTCCTCATCTTGTATAATCTTGGACTTGAATATTTCCTCTTCCAATGAATATCGAAACTTGCACTTCGACAAGATCGATTTTATTGATCTGAGTCCAATACCACTTTGTCCAACCTCCCTGATAGATTTTAAACAGAAACGAAATAGAAATTAAAATTACATTGTTTTTAAATTTTCTCCTTTAAATTATGAACTTTAAATATTTCGGAAAATAATTAAAACTTTTTATTTCAGCTTTTATTTAATTTTGTATTCTTTGTTTAAACTTTTGCATTTTGCTGAAATGTAATTTTCGTTTTCCCATTAAAAAATCGCTCCGCATACTCAACACAAATGGCGGACATATTTCGATGTTTCGTATGGTTTGCTCTTGTTCTGTTTGTTTCCCCGAATATCGTGCTTTAACTTTTAATGCTCCTAAAATAGTTTTCAGTCTTTTAATTTTACCATTTTTTTTTTTACTTTCTTTTTGTCTTGTTGCATCGATTACAGTTGGGTCTATTAATTGCATTTTCCCCTTGAAATGTTTTCTTTTCAGCGTTCATTGTTTCAGGTTTTTAATCTCCTGAGACACAACAGGAAAAAGATTAAAAGTGAGAAAAGAAGGAAAGCTAATCGGAGATTGTGGATGAGGGATCCAAAACGAGGCTCCATTAATGCGTTTGACAGGTGAACGCAGCCAAAAATGGAGGCGAACAGATGCGCAAATTATTCGGTCAATTCTTCTTTCTTTTTTTTTTTAATTTAATTATTTATAGGATAAAATCTCTCTCGCTCTCCTATTCATTTTCTCTAACAGTGGACACTCGTTAATTTGCGGATACTTTTCAGTATCTTTTTATGTGCCGTTACCTTTCAGGACGTAGGCGATTATGGCTCTCCACTTCATCCTATCCCTTGTGGCTCTCAATGAGTTTCGTGCCACTGATATCTCCCCCAAACCACCTTCTATCATCTACTTGATTAAGCCTGCCAGCTATGTCATGTCTTTATAGCAGTATATCCAATATGGAACCTGGACATAATCACCTTTTCTCTTCTAGTTTGGTGTTTTTGGTGCCGCCGCCATAATCCTCCTCCTCCTCCTCCTCCTCCTCCTTCTTCTTCTTCTTCTTCTTCTTCTTCTTCTTCAACGGCTTTTGTTCCAACTCCACTTATGGACTTCTTTTCAAACTTTCTTTTCTGGGGCTTCTTCGAGAGGACTTCTCAAAACTTTCTCTGAAGAGGAAACTTGCCCTCTTGTTACCCATGCATCCTTCACTTATGGGCAAACGATGCCTGCCTTTTCAGCAGGGAGAGAGAAAACGAACCTCTTTTCTCTAAGCTGTCTCTTTTCCAACTGCTACTAAAGTGCGGTCCCAGTTCTCCCCTCCCTTTCGAAGGGGGGTGATTCGCCTTTGACCCGTCCAATCATAGTCTATCTATCTATTTCAATCTCAATTATCTATTTATCTATCTCTGTTCATATATCTCTCTATCTCTTTTTATCTATCTATTTTAATCTCCATCATCTATTTATCTATCTCTGTTCATATCTATCTATCTATCTATCTATCTATCTATCTATCTATCTATCTATCTATCTATTGGGATCAAAGGGTGATCGGAATCCGACAGGAGGATAGGGCAATGAATAAATACGAAGCACTTATAAATCTAACATATTTTGCCTTTATTTTTAATCTTCATCAGAGAATAAAAAAAAAAGAGAATAGGAAAAAAGAAAGAAAAACAAAGAAAGAAAGAAAGAAAAGAAAGAAAAATAAAGAAAGAAAGAAAGAAAAAAGAAAGAACGAAAGAATGAAAAAAGAAAGAAAGGAAAAAGCAAGAAAAGAAAGAAAGAAATGACACTTATTTATCTGGTTTTATTTGTTTTTCATAAGTTAAGCAGATTTCACGTGCATATTGTCTTTTAAAACAACGTTCGTGCGTAAATTTATGTTTGTAAGTGCATCATGTCTCTTGTTTGTCTATACGGGATGGTAATGTATATTGGGTTGTGTATTTGTCGGTGGGGGTTTAGTATGTACTTTTATTTATGTATGTTGGTGATCCTCTTATCGATTGGGGTCATTTTTACCTAAAACATTTAAATGGAACAGAATTCTTTACGTCAGGAAAATACTTCGAGGGGGATTCTGAGGAAACTCTAACTATCTATAAACACACAACGCACATTATATTAATGACCAACCCCTATAAAATTCACACGTAAAGAATCTTATACACAGGGTGTCCCAATATATATATATATATATATATATATATATATATATATATATATATATATATATATATATACAAAACTGTCCCAAAATAATGTATAGACTCTTTAAATATTAATTGTTAATAATCTCATTACCGTGATGTGAGAACTTCTACGTATGAAAAATATGCAAAACAGATGGATTGGAAAAAGAGAGACAGTTGAATACCCCCCTAGATCACCAGATTTAAAACCCTGGGATTTCTTTTTGTGGGGGTTTCTAAAAGACAAAGTTTTACAGCAGGAAACCTGAAACAATTGCTGAAATGAGAGTATCAACTGAAGAAGAATGTGCTCAAATACCAGAGGAAATGATACTGGACGTTTGTAGGTCTATTTCTTCAAGATATGAAAAGTGTATTGAACAGAACGGCAACCAGTTTGAGCACTTGATATGAACTCATCATTATATGAACATTCTGCCATTACCCCAAGTAGCTTTTATCTTATTAAAGTTAATTTTCTATGTTTCTTGTACATTTTACTCTCAAATTCTTTAAATGTATATTTTTTCTCTTGTATTAATCTTATTTACAAGTAAAAATACTTAAATTGAATAAGTTATAACGATTCAAAGACTGTATAAATTATTTGGGGACATCTTGTATGTATGTACCTCCAAAGAATTGCGATATCTAAGGTTTAAAATGGCCTGATTTTATCCATATTTACAATTCTCTCGGCACAAGGGGATTCTCTTTATTAAAAATCATTCCAAAATAAACTACACCTTTAAAAAAAATGTTTGAAGAAGATTTGCTGATTTTAAAGTTTAGGTAATTTAAATTTTTATGCAGCTGATTTGAAACAAATATTGCTTTTAATACTGCAGAAAAGAATTGAATTTTTAACAGAGGGTTTTGGTGTTTTTTGGTATTGACACTTCTATTAACAGTCTGATATTTGAGAAATTAAACTTTTTTGTACAGTGGAGATATCCGTAAAAATTACTTAACAAATATAACGTAACCGGCTCATATATATATATATATATATATATATATATATATATATATATATAAATGAAATGGACAAAGTCCGACAATTATTTTAAGACATTTTTATGTTTATAAATTCTTTTTATAGATGCAAATATTTAAGTAAATGCTCTGTTTTATAATAAACAGTATTAAACAACATAACATTTACCGGCCTGAATGTCCGAGAAAATTTCATAGAAAATATTAGTCCTCCGACAGGAATCGAACCTGTATCCTATATGGAACCGTCATATAGCCTGACGTGTCTTTAACCGATTTTGGGCACAGAGGAGCGTTCAGTTAGCAAGGTCGAATTTACTGCCTTTAAACTACAATCTTCCATGAATCTTTCACGTACATACATATCTGCACATGGCTTCCTTTTCTTCTTTCTTCTATTACACCCTCTCTCTAGAGCTTTCATACATTTCCCTCTCACACTTGTTTCCCACTCCCACACATACACTCTCACTAAAATTTTTTTTTTTATTCCCTGAGTTATATATTCCGATTTCTATTTGAATTTGTAGGTCTGATGAATTGGATCGTGATTACGATTCCAATGTAATAAATTATAACCATGGAATATAAAAAGCAAAATATATATATATATATATATATTTATATATATATATATATATATATATATATTTATTATAAATGTGAGACGTTCGATTTCCATTTGCATATATTCAATGCAGTTTCTCAAATATTATTTTAATTTTTATTCCTGATTTCTATTTGAATTTGTTTTAAATTATATTTTTTTGATGAATTTTAGGATCGTAGATTATTATTCCAATGTAATAAATTATAACCATGGAATATTAGTGTTTGATCCTTTTATATTATATTCTTACTCTGTCCTGGGCATTGTGTTGAACATTGTGTTCTTCCTTGGTTCTATCCTCTTGGGAATTTATATATATATATATATGTTAAGAAATGGACAAGGTCCGACAATTTATTTATTAAAGACATTTTATTTATGTTTAACGTTGTTATTTTATAGATAAAGTATTTAAGCAAATGCTCTGTTTAAGATAAACAGTATTAAATAACATTTACCGGCCTGAATGTCATATAAAAATTTCATTAAAATATTCGTTCATAGACAGGATACAAAATTTATTCGAACCTGCATCCTTTATTTAAAAATAACTGTCATAATATGTTTTTACATGCCTTAACCACTCAGTTGAACGAAATAAAAATTTTATTGAACCTTATGGTTTCACAAGGTCAATTTACTGTTATAAACTAACAATCTTCCATGAATCTCGTACATTCATTCGTTTATTTTTCGTTCGAATGTCAACAAATGACGTCATATATTAAAAAATCGACATATGTCCAAAGTCAATTTTCTTTATTAAAGATTTGTTCATTTTTTATTTATGTTTATTTTACAGTAAATGTTTTTGTCTACCATAAGGTTTATGGTAACCCCGAGTGGTTAAGATAAACGTATATAAATTCCATAGGATGCAGGTTCGAATCCTGTCTATGAACGAATATTTTCTATGAAAATTTCTCGACATTCAGGCCGGTAAATGTTATTTAATACTGTTTATCTTAAACAGAGCATTTAAAAAATAAATATTGTATCTATAAAATAACAACGTTAAACATAAATAAAATGTCTTTAATATATATATATATATATATATATATATATATATATATATATGTTGACCACTAATATTATCTATCTATCTGACTAAATAGAAAAGGCTAACTTTTCTTAGCCGAAGGAAAGGAGATATTTGTAAAAGTCTGTGTGCTGATATAATTTTAGCATAACCTGAAGATTGCGTTTAAGCATGTAACAGACTTGCCACTGGCTGCTGCTTATATATGTACGAAGAGATTTCGTTAAATTCATGTTTTAATTTCTTTTGTTAACTTATTAGCAAGAACTGGCTTTTGCTAGTGTGGTAGACAAGATTTTGTTGGCTACATCCTGGCAATTTTTAGAGAACTGGAATTGGAATAAGTCAAACGTCACGCCATCTGTAATGCTTATAATAGAAGCATGTATCGAATATATTTGTGTGTTGTTAGTTTCTATTCTGATTCAATATCCAAGAGTTTTTATTCTAAAATGAAATTTCTTTTCAGAAATTATTACTATAAACGTTATTTTAGTGGCTACACATATTTGAGTTGCTATCCTTGATTTAAAAAATAATTAGGGTAATTATGAATAAATAAAATCATAGATAATTCTTTAAACTCGTGTACCTATTTTGTGATGTCAGTGAACACTTGTTGCCACTTTTGTAATGCCAACGAATACTTGTTGTCAATTTTGTAATGTTCGTTGTAGTAGAGTCTTTGTAATCGCAGATACAAATGTAGTAACCCCGCCGAGCAATACTGGTGTCAGACGTCTTCGAATATCACTAGCACTAATAATACTTGCTCGTATAGTGATCTGAATAGAGAATAGTGTAGAGAAGAGAATAGAGAATAGCGACTTTTATAGTATAGAGGATAGACTAGAAATAGTGATCCGTATAATATAGAGGATAGACTAGAAATAACAATGAATTAGATACATTCAACCTCCTACATATATGCGTTTCCTCTATGGTCACGTGGTCTACTTAATCTAATAATAGGATCGCCTGTGATTGCTCACTGGCGATCTATGTTCAATCTCAGCTCTCGGCAGCGACATTTTATTCCTATATAACAACCTCGTAAAAGTAACTTTTTTTTAATTTAAAAACAAACAAAAACGAACAAACAAAAACAAACAATTCAACTGAAACAAGGCGATAATGCCACTAAGACGCAAGAGGCTCCTGAGAGTGAAAGACGGTGAGAAGACTTCATAAGTAACCGGAAACACGACCCTAAACAGGAAACAAAGCATAAATCGCTACTTCTATTCAAAAGAACGGGAAGATATGCGAACCAGGTAATAGGCATATCTGTCTGCACTTATTATATTATGGCAATAAGAAATCTCACTCTCTCTCTCAATTTATCTATATATACATATATTTATCTTTGTTTCATTTTAACAAAGAACTAACGATAAATATGACAATTCTTATCAAGACGACGCCTAAAATAGCTTGATGAACTTTTCAGTGTCTGGCTTCGATCATTGACGATCTTCTATATTTATTGTCTTCTTCGGAGTCTAGCTTTATGCAAATTTTTAAACCCTAATCATTCGAACCAGTTGATATATACCCTTAATGGTGATCCTTAGATTATTTTTTGAGTACGTCTTCGGTCACACGAGGGAGTGATTCCTCAGGTTGCCTTCAGTTCTCAACGTTTGGAATTTTACTCAGTAGGAAAATTTTCAGACAATCCTTTGAACTTTGCCACTTGAAATTGTTTGGATATCTATATCTAGCCT